GCACCAAATCACAACAGCAGTCGCCTCAAGGTGCTTTATATTGTAAGATAAAAGCCCTGCAACAATACAGAGAAAACAGAGAAAACCCCAACAATCATTTGACCCCTTATGAGCAAACACTTTGGTGACAGTGGGAAGATAAAACTTCCTTTTAATCGGAAGAAAACTCCAGCAGATCCAATCTCAGGCAGGGGCAGTCGCCTTAATAAGATGACTGATTTTTCATGTCTTATATTATTTGATATTAACATAGCTTTGATAAGCTTAGCAGAGCCTAAAGACTGAGACCAAGAGAAAAAGCTAGCATAGCTCTAGCTAATCTACCTTGTAGCACTTCTAAAGCTTTCTAAATTCTGGCTCTAGCTTTGTATTTAGCATGTTAACACACAAAGAGTGTCTTCTCATTTAACTTTTAGCATCAGAACAGTTTCTCCAGATCTTTACAATCCATGAAAGAACTTGTGGAAACAAATTAAAACAAATTCTGGATCATCAGCTGAATTTTCAGCTAATAATGAATCTTTAGGCTTCCAACACTTATTACTAATTTAAACACTTACAATCAATCCCCTGACCTTTGTGTACAGTTAACACAAATAATTTTTCTATGTGTCTGAAGTGAAACCGAAATGGACTGAAGTAGAAAAAGAGCAGATCAAGAACGCTAACTAAGATCGTTTTAAACGGTTACTGTGTAACTGCGAGTATCCGTGTGTACCTTGGTGCAGGAGGGGGGGTAATTTAGGTGTAGAATGTCTTCCTCATCACTGGAGCTGACCTAAGAACACAACGGTTAATCATCCACTATCGGGCAGGGACAGGCAGAGTGAGAGAACAAGAGAGGAGCCGGGTGAACAGCTGAATGACACTTTGAGGCATTTGCGCTTGTTAAAAGGCAAAATAAAGAAAGAAGAAAAGAGGAGTCGTACATCCGACAGCTGGAACAAAAGGATATACTCACCCGAGAGTGGATAGCAGAAATCTGCATTTGAAGACGCCTCTTGCTGATTAAGGATTTGAGTTTTACTTCGTTTTTGCCTGCTGTGATTAAACTCCAGCATTGTGTGTCTGTTTGTGTGCATTTGTGTGTTAGCATGTCCGTTCTGTAAGGACTGTCCTGTTTTTGGATTCGATTGTGAGCAAAGGGGAGCCCACATGGGGCCCGGGCCTTGTCCGGGATGCCAGCTGCTGCGGTGAAGCCTGCTCTGGACATGGTTGCCGAGGGAGGGGGCGTAGGGGAGCGCGGTGTGTCCCAGTGGGAAGCCTCTGGGCTGGGCCGGCAGAGGCTGCCTCTGCCCTCCCTGAAGGTCCCCAGAGAGCTGCTGCGAAGCTTCCCCCACTCCAAACGGGTTGGATCCTACCTGGTGGGGAAAATGATCAACAAGGGCTCATTTGCCAAAGTGATGGAGGGGCTGCATATCAGCACGGGGGAAAAGGTCAGTGCTTTCTCTCCAATTTGACAATTAGAGAGCAGACATGAAGTGACATGTCACTGACTGGTGGGGTGGCACACTGGCAAAGAAAAAGATCACACACATACAAGATTATGATTACATGCTTACAACTAGTGCCTTGTAACTGATAATTATACACTCTTGGGTTTAAAGAACGTCGTAGTCTGTTATTATTCTTGCTATGTGCACAGAACTCAGTCAGATTCATCCATAACTGCTTATTTCATGACTATGAGGGGTTTTACAAGACAACATTTGCTCAGCAGATTTTAGAGGTCTGAAATGCATGTTTCTGTGCAATATGTCTGTCGTTAGTTCCTTTAAAAAGTGCAGACTGATGTTAGAATCTGCGCTCTTTCAGATGAACAAAAAACATGAATTTGCATGTTTGTAAGTACTCTGTGTCTTCCACATCTATTTATGGTGCTATGGCAATCCATCTGCACTCACTGTGCAGGCGAGACTGTGCA